ATCTCAAACATGACTTTCACATATGGAAATACATTCAGGACCAGAATTTCTGACCACACTTTGCTCTGTTATACTTCTTTAAAGTTGTGATAGCAGTGTAAGTATGTAGATATTTGTGTTTCTGTCTGTGTGTATGGTACTGTTCATTTAATTGGTAACTGTTTTGCTATTTAGTAGAGCCTATAACTTACAGTCAGACAGAATTTAAATATGAAATCTTTAAAGAGATTTAGAAAAGAAAATGTTGTCCACCTTCTTAAAACTCTGAGGAAGGATATGTGTTATCTTCCAAAGGTAGCGAGGAAAGGAAATGAAAAGGCACCGTTTGTTACAAGAATGGATATGGGGTATTTCCTGATACAGCTGAGTAGCTAAGATAATTAGGTGTTTTTCCAGCAACAGTGATGCATCAGTAGTAGTTTCAAGGTAGACAGATCACATAGCTCACTGTGTAAATGTTAACTAATCAGTAACATTGCACACCTTTAGGAAGAGTAAGAGTAGTAAAAAGAATATACAGGGGGAAAACAAAACAGTTTGCTTTGCATTTTGGCTCCAGGCCCTTTCCACGCAAGATTTATCTTTGTTGTCCACTGAAGAATAGCAGCTTTGTGACACGTATCTAAAGATTCATGTCTTTTTGTTTTGTTCTTAAGAAACTTAAAGTGGTAAAAGTTAAACAATGGTAGACCTGTAGTGACCTTACCAAGAGATAAAACTGTCCTCAAGTGGACCCTTTCCACTATGGATGAAGCTAATTAAATACAGTACAGTTGTATTCAATGTTAGAAAAGGAATTTCCTGGGTACATCCTAAACAATTATATCTCCTGTCAAACAGAGCATCTTGGCGTCATCTTTTTTATCTACACCTGGAGCTGGCTGTGACTCATCATGCAATGATGACAGAGACAGCAAGGCTTCTTGGAGGCAAAGGGTTTCCAAAAATAATGATGTCAAAGCCACAGCTTGAGTTTTCTTCTGCAATGCAGTGAATACAAAAAATATCTTCTGGAATTGTTGAGAATAATTATTTTTCATTCTAACAACAGATTGTTAGACATCGTGTGCTTGCGTCTTGTTCACAGACAGATTGGTATTAATGAGAAGCTGCTTTATAATAATCTTTAAACCATATATTATGGCTGTTCAGGAACAGGTTATGTCCAATTTACAGTTAATTATGATGAACATGAATTTGACAATGGGCTTCTTTTTTCACATTCATCTGTCTGGTATACCTACAGGCGTCTGCTGGCTTTTGTATTTGATGCCTTGCAGCAGCAATTACTGTAACTACTGTAATTGAAAAGCTGAGCTTTGTGATATACTTTGTCTGAATTTTTTTCCACCACATTTGGGAAACATAATTCTCTATTATAGGTCGATCGTGTCAGTGTTTCCAGCTTTCAGGGTAGTTCCTGCACCCCTGCCAGTCACTATTGTGCATTTTGAGCCGAGGTGTAAAATAATCCAGCCTTCTGGAGGAAAACAAGAACAGTGAGCCAAGCCCGGCTATTATCTTTCCTTGTGGTTATGCACATTTGAAAGAAGCTACTGACCTTTTTATAAGGCGTGTTCCCTTTTATTCAGAGAGGATGAAACCTGTAATGTTATCATTTCAGGTAATAAA